CTGTGGGAGGGGTGATTGGGCAGGGGCAATGAGTGAAATATAATGTGAATAAGTAAAATTATTAATAATATAACAATATCCCATCAAAATGATCTGTACTAAATTTAATACATTATAAGATGCCCAATTGCCATTTCCATGGAATAATATTAAGACCCTTATCAATTCAAATTTAAATTGATGGAACATGTGATTTGAAATTGTTAGGTAACTTAGTGTTACATTAAAAGCACTAGTGTGAATGCATGAGCTGCAGCTGGAGTGAATTCAGACTACTCTTACTATACTGTCTTTCAAAAGTGTCAATAAAGTGAAGAGCATGTGTTAATTTGAGAGGCAACAGGTCAGTTTTTGAAACAAGAAGTCCTTGTTAGTTAGGAAAACAGGTCATCAAGTCTGTCAGCTAATATTTGTAATAAGAGCTACAATTTATTACAAGAAATGAGGGGGGATTCACACTAAAATCATAAATGTGAGGACCTGTAAAATTATTAAACTCTTACTAATTAAACCATTGCTTTCTCAAGTCATTTTCTATCAGTCTAATCACTTGCAAATATGTGAGTACTACTTCTAATAATACTAGTATATGTTCATTCATATACTCACCAAATCCTTTCCTAATGTAATGATTTTTCTAGCTAAATACAATGGAATGAAATGTGATTGCCTACAGAGGACAGGAGGTGAATATTTAACCTGGAATCTTATGTTTATTATGAGCCCTATATTCTTAAGTTTGTTTGTGGTGCCTGAAGCCTGTGATGATAGATCATTTAGTCAGTAAACAAAATCTGTATTTTCATGAGACATTTGTAATGAAATCACTAATCTATCACAATGTTAATGAATTTATCAACATTTCTGTTTCTTGAGAGCTAAGCTTATATACCAGTAGAGACCATGTGGGTTTCTCCTCTTCTAAGTGTTTGGATAAATAAGAAAGCTTTGAGAATTAAGTTTTATACATAATTATTCAGAGGAGTTTGCCTTAAAAGGTAAGTTGTTTCAGTTATTTTTCATGATTATACCTGACTACTTTCCAAACTACAAATACACACACACACACACACACACACACACACACACACATACTTTCAAAGAGCAAAGTATTCGTCAATGGTCGAAGGAAGCCAGGACACTCACCTTCTGAAATAAGGATTCATTTTAAAGTAAGAAAGTCATAATAATTATAGCATGATTTTATTGTGTTCTAACTATCTCCCACAATCATTCTTTTACCATTGAGTATAAGTCTCTGAAGTGTCTCGAGATTCACATGTGAATCAAATTCCCAGGGACCATTGTCTCAAGTGGAAAATACATTTATTACACATGAGAAGAAATTTCAAGGGAGTCAATCTGAATTTTTTATTTTGATTTAAGAATTGGCTCACTTTCATTTGATAATTATTAGAAGTATAATGGTAACAAAATTATCTCAGCTAAGTGTTGGTTCTAGGTTCATTTTATGTTTCATATTAGTGGATACTGAGATAAAAATATATAACTTTGGCTATTTTCATTTAATATCTTTTCATTTGTGCATCTTTTGGTAGTTTTTGGTGTTAATACTCTTTATTATCGACATTGAGGAATATGTGGAGGGAGGAGAGTAAAGCCAATATAAAGAATATAAAATACTGATATACAGAAAACTGTGAGAAAAAAAATTGTAAATAAAAATCCACACAGCTGATCCTCAGTGAAGAATTGGTATCACACAATTCACACCACAAAGACGTTTTGGCTTCTTTTTTTTTTTTTTTTTTTGATGGAGGATTACAAAAACACTGACTGCTCTTCAGTTAGAAAACCTTGTCTGACTCCTGCTAATCTTAATTTTATGGAGTCATTCTATCTTTGATGTCCCCTGATATAAGCAGCTGCACACTGAAGAATGAACAACTTTCAGAACTCCTCTGCTCAATCTCTAATATATGCTGTCCAACTTTTTGAGTATAGTGATTCTTAAAAGTCGAAAAACCATTTCAGGGACCATGAAAAAATATCGGACACAATTTTATTTCATCCTTCTTCTAGTGAATCATGGGGCTCTTAGGCAGACTGCTCCTCTGCCTCACAGCCACTGGAAATGTAGTCTAAGAACCAAAGACAAAAGTGTTCTTCAAAGAGAAATGTCTGCTGTAAATGTAAACTTTTAAGTTATAAAGCTCTATATGATTTAATTTAATGTTTTATGTTACTGTGTACATTTCACCTGTCCCTTACCTTTACAGTGAATGTTGTTGATTAAGTTTTATATCTTAAATTCTAGTGGTTTTGTTTTTCTTGCATACTGTTATTGCTTCTATGTTTAGTATCCCTGGTTTCCAGTTAGTGGGACAATATTTTCCCTGTGTTTGACAGGGATAATTGAGATTTGTCTACTCATTTACTCAACTAGTCAAGATGTAGCAGTTATTCTTGACTGTATTAGAGCCAAGTTCAAGGACTGATATTCCTTTTCCCACAGTGGCTGCAGTCTGTGTAAGGGTTGCTTCCCTGTAGTTTCTTTATATTTGCTTATATGCATTATTACTATTGATCAGATACCTCCCAAGGACATTTCTAAGTTTATGATTCTGGCCTCTCTAACCCCTCATCTCATCATAAATTTGACACAATTTTATATCATTTTTTTCCTGAATTGCCAAATTCTGTCAATGAAAAGAAAATTATATCTATTTCTGTATGGCTACATGTAGAGGCAGGGGAATTCCTTTCTTTTATGTGGGTTCCAGGAAATGAAGTCAAGTCATCAGGGTTCTCTGGTAAAGGCTTTAACTTGCTGACTCAGCACTAACATAAAATATAATAAACAAAATTTTAGGTGTAATTCCCTGAGTTGTCACTTTTGGGGAATGCTTACAGAATGCTTATTTTGTAAGCTATAATTTAATGTTGAAGATATACTTAACACTTTATTATTTGTTCCAGTTGGGTACACCACAGGGCTGGTTAAAGTGAACAGTTGTGTTATTGTTTCAACAGAAGCCTCAGTGTACATGAAAGCACGCTCACAAAACTATCTCATATAGGTACTGCTTTATTTTACATGAGTGTCCTCACATCCTGCAATCTTTTCTCAGGTATTAGGTTTTCAGCGAAAAGTACACTGTCAACCCTGTCCCTGGGCAAATCAACCTAACACACATGATTTTGGTTTTTGTTAATTTTTATTTTATTTAGTGCTCAACCTCTTATGATAGTCTGCATCACTTACATTTTAGTTTTATTGTCAAGATCTTATATGAGTGAATAACTTCCACTGTTGCCAGTTTTTATTTGTAACCATTTCCAATGTAGTAAACTAACATCTGAAATGTGAGAATCATTGTATAGCTTCTAGAATGTGTGAAAATGTAAGTGAATGAGAAAAACATCAATGCCTTTGTTCTATCAGAAAGATGGTGATTTTTTTTTTCTGGAATATTAAAGTAGAGGGGAAATGGGAGTAAATGTGATTGTCACCCACATATGAAGGTTGATTTCTTCTCTCCCAAAGGCAGTGAGATTTCGAAGGAGATATAGCCAGGTCTGCTCAAATGTGCACATGAGCATAAGTTGCTTGACCACGAAGCCTTTCTAAAAATGTCCTTTTCACAGCTTCACTGTTGAAATTATAAACTTAGCTTTCTTTAGACATCATTACTCTTGTTTTTACTAATTTGTTTCCCTTGGTCCTGGCAGGCTCAAGAATATAACTCAATAGGAAGACCAAAAGTCTCAACTAACCTGGACCCCTGAGATCTCTCAGATATTAAGGCACCAACCAGACAGCATACACCAGCTGATCTGAGACCCCTGATACATATACAGTTAAAAACTTCCTGGTTTGGCCTTAATGAGAGAAGACACACCTAATCTTCAAGAGATTTGAGGCCCCAGTTAGTGGGGAGGACTTGTGAAGTGGCAGTGGGGTATGGGGTGGGGCATCCTCTTGGAGATGGTGGAGGAGGTATGAGATGAGGAATAGTCAAAGGTCAGACTGGGAAGGGGACAATAACTCATCTATAAAAAATTAAATAATAATAATAATAGTATTAATATTAATAAAGGTATTAACTTTTGAAACTGAAAAGAAATCAGATTAATGAGGAATGGGTTTCTTGTTCTTTTTTTATATATCTAACAATTGGGATTGTACCACCACCCTACACCATGTATCAGATTTTTATGGATACACAAAATCCATATCTCATAGGCAACATTTCTATAAAAATAATTTCCACTAATTACTCCCTGCTTTCTCTCTTATCATTTATTTTACAATGTGCACAATAACTATAGTCATTAGACTTATCTCAGGACAAGCATGTGTTGAAACATACTCTCTGAAGGATTGTAATAGGTGTTATTAAGCTTTATGTAGCTAGAACAAGAAGCTAAACTAATCAAATAGCACTGAAGATAAAGATTAACTTTTAACAATTTTTGAAGTCTCTGTCTCTTATGAGTTGGTGTGTACCTGCAGTTGTATATCATCAAAGGAACACATGGTAGGAAAATACTCTCACATTATGACCAATAAAAAAGAAACAATATTCTGAGTCCCAATATCTCCATTACTACATATCTCTTATAAACTAAAGATTGCCCACTAGACTCAAGCTTTGTGATTCTAACCTTTCCCAACAGCAATAGAGAACTGACCTTGACAAACACATAAGACTTTGGGGACAGTTAAGATACAATTTGTAACAAAATTGACTATGAAATATTTTTTAAAAATTAGAAAAGGATGTCAAAATATTTTCAGTATATTGTTTTATATGAATCACCTTATTCTGTTAATTAAAAGATTTTTATTTTATTAAAGTTAATTTATAATAATAGTTTTATTTCTTCTCTAGTCTGAAAACTGAACACTGATATTTATTACTAACTTCCACATTTGCTAATAATATATCAATAGACTTTTTTAACCACAGAAACTCAACTTTTATTACTATATCCATATTACTGCTATAGCAAGTCCAATAATGTAACAGATACTTCTAAGAAAATATTTTCCTACCAAGTAGTCTCTTCAGAGCACTCTTAATCTCACTACTCCTCAGGCTGTAGATGAGGGGGTTCAACATGGGGATCACCACCATGTAGAACACAGAAACCACTTTGTTCTGGTCCGTGGAATAGTTGGACTTGGGCATCACATAGATGAATGTGACAGTGCCATAGAACAGAGTGACTGCAGTGAGGTGGGAGGTACAGGTAGAGAAGGCCTTGTGTCGGCCCTCAGTGGAGCGCATCTTCAGGATGGTGATAAGGATGTAGATGTAGGAGACAGTAATGATAAGTACTGTGACTAAAATGACAGTGCCAACAGAAATAGTGGCAAGAATAATAGAGACACTGTCATCAGAACAAGAGAGTTCAACTAAAGGGGTAAAATCACAGAAAAAGTGATTGATTATATTTGGTCCACAGAAGAAAAAAGAAAAGAATGAAAGGGTGAAGGAGGAAGCATTAAGAAAACCGCTTATGTATGCTACTACAAGCAACTGGACACAGACTTGTGTGGACATTTTGGTTGAATAAAGTAGTGGGCTACAGATTGCCACAAAGCGATCATAAGCCATTGCAGCTAGAACAAAGCACTCAACTGTCCCAAAGAAAGCACCTGAACCAAGCTGGATGCCACATCCTAGATATGTAATGATATTTTTCTCAACCAAAAAGTTGACAAGCATATTGGGTGTGACAGAAGATGAGTAGCCTATGTCAGCAGAAGCCAAGTGACTGAGAAAAAAGTACATGGGATGGTGGAGCTGGGAAGAGACTCTGATGAGAAGGATGGTGCTGAGGTTCCCAGACACAGTCACCAGGTAGATGCACAGGATGATGGTGAAGAGGACAAATCTAAGAACTGGGTCATCTGTCAAGCCCAATAAAATGAACTCTGACACTGTAGTGTGGTTCCCATCCTCCAGAGAAGCCATGGGACAGTGTAGGTGCTGTCAGATCAAGTCTGTAATGGAGACATTACAGGAAGGGTTTTATGAATAGATGATCTCATTTTCATCAACTCAACCATGGGGTTGTCACAAATAAATTTATCATTCAAAAAGAATTGACAGTTCTATGGAACAAAGTTTAAGTCAAGATTATAGCAGTACATCTGTATTTGTGTATAAATGTGACATAAAATTTTAAAACAAATGAGAATAAACTTCTTTCAAATAATGTATCTGTTATCTTTTTAGTTATATATAGTAAAATATACCTCTGTGGTTTTATAAGTAAGGTTTTAAAATGAGAGACTTATGTAAATAACACAAGTTGTTGTAAATACCACAGGATGTAAAATCCACAACCAAAGAACTTTGTGATAAAGACTAATAATGGGTAGCCTTCCTGATGTTACTAAGCAGCAGGATAAGACATAGAATTTTATATATTGTTCTTTAATTTTTTAAGCATTAAATACATTTGTGATTTCTATTTCTTTGAGAATATTTAGTTTGTAATTGGTGACTACATAAGAAATCTAGAATGAGGATATCTGTTATAAACAAGCTTTATTTGATCTGACTTTTAGTAATTGCTATATATGAAAAAATCACAGTGAAGTTGAAAGCACATGCAAATTTGAGACATAAAGCAGCTATGTGGTTAATATACAAAAGATGAGTTTCCATCATATGAAATTGGTCAGTTAGTGAATCAAGCTTACATCAAGATAAATTTTCTTATTAGAACATTGAAAACTAGAAATGAATCTGTGTTTTCTAAGTGGAGTGTGATAGAATGAAATCACATGGTTTTCTACACTGTGCAAATGGGAGGAAAATACTCAACTTAAAATGTTAAGTTCACTCATGTTTATCAAGCTTGGGATCACATGAACTCTTACTTCAGTATTTTTGACATTATACCTTCTGATTGTCTAAAATATCTGCTGCTTGTCATGCTAGAACCTTCAGTTAATACACAAAGCAAATATTTCTACAAGGCATTACAAAAAGTACCCCATCAAAGCACTTTAAAAAACAGTGACGTCATTTTCATGAGTATTAAGTTCCTATACTGTTATTGATCATGCGGGATTCTAGATTCATTGGTGGCTAGATAAATAAGAAACCTCTAACATTAGAATTTAACTGATATTCACAGGAGTTTGATTCAGCTAGGTATTTTGGTCCAGTAAACTGCCTGTTCCACCAAATGTGTGTATCCACTAAAGCTTATAAGTTTGGATAAATTTTCAAAGAATGAAGTATTTGCTAAAGATAAAGGTCAAATAATTAGCCAGATTTACTCACAAAACTCTAAACTTACCTCTTCCAACTAGAATTCATTGCAAAGTAATAAGGTCATGGTTATTTTGCTTTTGTAGCTGCACAGCTGTTTCTTGCTGTCATTGTTTGTCATTGAGGATAAGTCCCTGCTGAGACTCTGGATTCAAGTGTGAATTCAAGTCACAGGAGATCATTATCTCATTTTCAGTTCATTTCACACACACACAAATAATTTCCAATGAGTTTAACTAGGTACTTTCCTCTTATGTAAGAATGAACATGCTCTTCATCTGGTAATTATTCAAAGAATATGATAAAATTATATCAGATGTGATTCAAGCATCTTCCCTTGGGCTCGTCTTGTTACTTCTTTGATTCTGACTTTTGTAGTGCAATAATCATATAAATTATGGCTAATATACACCTGCAAGTAAAAATATACCATGCATATCTTTCTGGGTTGGGTTGCATCACTTGGAGTGATACTTTTTAGTTACATTCATTTTCTGGAAAATTTCATGATGTCCTTGTTTTAAATAGCTGAGTAGCATACTATTGTATAAATGAACCACATTTTCTTTATCCACTCTTCAGAAGAGGAATATAGAGGTTTTTTTTTTCAGTTTCTGGATATTACAAATAAAGCTGCTTTGAACATGGTTGAGCAAGTATCCCTGTGGTATAGTGGGGGATTTTTGGGATATGTCCAGGAGCAGTGTAGATGTAACTTGAGGTAAAATTGTGCCCAATTTTCTGAGAAACTGCAAAATTTATTTCCAAAGTGGTTGTGCAAGTTTGTACTCCTATTATCAATGAAGGAGTGTTGCCGCCAGCAGCTACAGATGACCGGGTTCACCTGAAAGAGAGGCTGGGAAGGGACAGGAGGGCGGGAAGAGATGAAGCCAGGACAAAGGTTTCTGATTGAGGCTCAATGCTTTAATGTTCAGCTTTCAATTTAAAGGGGGTAACCCACCCCCACCCCCAGAGTTCCTTCTGGCTTCATCCGGCTGGGGGCGAGCGCTGGGGGTGAGCGGAAACCATCCTGCTGGAGCTGAGAGGAATCCATAGGTAATTGTGGGCCGGAGATGTCTCAAAGCAAGTTCAGCAGGCAGTCTATTCTTCTCAGCTCGTGTACCAGGCTACAGGCAGACAGAAAGGCGCCAAGGCAAGCACTGCCTCCTCGCCAAGGGCAGGAAATGCCTACTGCCAGAGTCCTATTGTTTGGTCTATTGTGGTAAACAAGGTCCCTGCTCAAGGCTGGGGGAAGGGCACAGTTCCCCCTTTTTAGTTTTATAAGATATGAGCAGTGCCAGCTGCTGGATGGGAAATAATATTTCATCCCATCTAAGGTACAGAGTGGCTGGGCGACCGTGCCTGTCTTAGGTTGGCATCTATATTACTCCTATATTACCCGTCGTTGAGGAACATACATAGCATATTGATGTAAGCCTCTTGTCTTAGGTTTATAGGAGCTCAAGACACTCTTACCCGTCGTTGACTAACCGGCCCCATCGATTGGCACACTCTTTCCCAAAAGACCAAAACCACATTCAGACCAAAGGACCTGTGGGTGTGCACTAGCTGCAATTCTTCATAGCGATGGATAACTGCCACGGATGAAAGCTGAATTTGCTGACAGCGATCCTGTGTGATCCTGTGTGCAGGCAACCTATCTGCTTGAGACACAAGGTTTAAAAGGTTAAAAGCAACATGATTTATCCAAGCAATGTAGAAAATAAGGTTGGAAGCGGAAATGTTCCAGTGCCTAATCCAGCTGCTGGTTGACAGGGATTTAGACACAAAGTCTGGCCACCACGTATAGTGGGTGACTTTAAGTATTGATGGAGACTACATGCCAGGTTAAATCAGCTGGCAGATAAGGATTTTGAGCCATCATCATCAGAATCACAATTATTAGGTTCGAGATCTGTGTCCACATGACGGACCAATCTTTCAGGGAGCCATCGGGCTCCGTTCTCTTTTTCTGAAAAAATACAGACTGAACCACGACCCCAAATTAAAACAGGGTCGGGACCACACCAAGTATTAGTTAAGGGGTCTCTCCACAAGACCCTGGCAAATGAATTGGAAGTAACAGGATGCCAGTGGCGATCCGCTGCAGACTGACCTTTAGCATCAGTTTGCAAAAAATTTTAAAATAAGACAAAAGCAAGGTGTGCTTTTGGTGACCCTGGGAGGTATAATTCCCCCTTTTTAGTTTTAAAAGCCAATTTATCAGAGTTCCTTGTAAAACCAGGGAAGAAGCACCAATAATTGTTCTTCTCACATTCAAGAGAGTTATCAAGATATTATTTTAAAGTTCTATAATCTCTCTTTCACAATTCTTTGTCCTTGAGGATAAGGAATCTTAGTAATAAGGATAATATTATCTTGTCACCAAACATCTCAAATGTTTGACTGTCAATAGCCAGTTCCATTGTCTATAATCTGATATGGAACACCAAGCATAAAAAAATAATGTAGGCAATAACTAATTATAATTTTTAGTTGCTTTTCTTGTTAAAGCAGTTGCAACTAAAAAGCCTAAAAGGGTATCAAGTCACATGTACATAATTTAATTTTTCTAAAATCAAAAATGAGTAACATCTATTTGTCATAATTGATCACGTATAAGTCCTCAAGGCTTAACACCATTATGAAAATTGAGGACACTGAAAACAAATTTTTATTATTTAACTTGTATACTTTCTAGAAATATCAAATTATTGTCTCAAGCTATTATTATTTTGATGATATAAAGAATAAGATTATATGGCCAGTTGTTTCTTTAAGGTCTATAATCTGACTGGTATACAAATCTGGTCTGGCATTGCCCTGGGTTCTAGGCAATCCAATGAGCTCTTAAATGTCTTATAAAGTTAAAGAACAGTACATGTTTCTTAAGTTAAGCTGTATTTCTATAAATAACTGTAAAATTTGAAAATTAGCAATATATAAGAAAAGAACAACTTTAAGCAATTATAAGCCATGAGCCATTTACTGGCTATGAGCATACAAATTTAAAACTTTATTTTTAGCATTTCAAACAGTGGCTACAGCACATAATTTAATTATTTTTGCTGAAGCAGGGGAAAATTCAAGAGAATAAACATGTGATACAATTACATATACTGTCTTCTCAATAGATGAGGCATCTGTAAATATAGTAAATATTTTTTCTATGGGCTGTATGCAAATTTATAGGAAATACAAAAGCATGCATAGAGAACAACTGTTAACAACTTGTCTTATGGATAATGATTATCAAATTTGTCTAAAAACTTTGCCATGTAATAGGCCAAATATCATTATTCTCTAATAATCAACTTAAATTCTATTTGGAATAAGGAATTAACATTTCATCCAAAATACTTTCAGGATTCTATCTTACAATCCAGTATTAACACTGCAATTGTTTCATAATAAGATATTCAAACTTTACTTATAGATGAAGGATGAATCCACAAAAATGGTTTCTTTTGCTAAAGGGCTGCTGTGAGCACATGAGTAGCAATAATGTAAACAGCCAACAATTTATCATAGTCTATATAATTTATCTTCTGATAAGTAACAGCTTGTTCTATTTTCTACAAAGCTGTCTATCTCTCATCAGTTAACTGTCGAGGGAATTAGGATTTGTATCCCCCTTGAAAACATCAAACAGAGGTTCAAGTTCTCCTATGGTAAGCTTAAAATGAGGTT